AAAAAACAGACAGTCAGCGTCCATATATCGCTTGCCTGACTTATGTACGACTACCATATCGAAGTCTTGCAGCCTGAGGCTCCAACGCGCTATTCGGCTGGTAGGGTTTTTAAGACTTGTTAACCAAGACAGTTAGTGGTGGTTGCTAATTACTTTGAAGGGATGATAGATATGTGCGACATTTTCTTACCACCCATACCACGGCGAGATATTCCTTCTCATTCGTGGAGTAATTAGCCCCAGCGCGTGTTAGCGTTCTGCTAGCGTAGGTGATTACCCTTTCTATTTCATCTTGCTGCTGCACAAGCACAGCTCCCAGACCTACATTGCTAGCATCGGTGTGAAGCACCGTGGGGGCTCTCTCGTCAAAGTGGGCAAGGACTGGAGGTGTTTGTAGTCTCTGGCAAAGATCGTTAAAAGCAGCTTCCTCTCCGTTCATCCACTCAGAGGTGACGTCTTTCCTCGTGAGGCGAGTTAACGGTAATACAATGCGTGCAAAGTCTGCGATAAATTGTCGATAATATGCGCAGAGACCGAGAAAGCGTCTGACAGCCTTTTTATCTGTTGACAGGAAACTGTGCAACGGCTGCAATTTTTTTCAGGATTGGGTCGAACACCTGCATGACTGATGACATGACCAAGAAATTGCAGCTCTTTGTAGCAAAAGTGGCACTTCTCAGGTTTCAACGTCAAGCCCGTGGACCGTTTGGCTCGTAAGACCACATCAAGCCTTTCAAGGCGCTCGTAAAACGTTGCGGAGAAGACTACGACATCGTCCAGATATACTAAGCAGGTTTTTCACTTCAACCCGGAAAGCACACTATACATGAGTCTTTAAAAGGTAGCAGTCGCTGAGAACGAACCGAATGGCAACATCTTAAATTCATTTGACCCATCTGGTGTTACGAAAGCGGTCTTCTCGTGGTCTCTCGGGTCCTCTTCGATTTGCCAATATCCACTGCGCAAGTCCATTGAACAGAAGTATCGAGCATGTCGAAGTCTGTCAAGCGAGTCGTCTATACGAGGTAGTGGATATACGTCTTTCTTGGTCAGCTGATTCAGCTTCCGGCAATCCACACAGGAGCGCAGGCTTTCGTCCTTTTTCTTAACGAGGACCACAGGCAACGCCCAGGGGCTCTGTGAAGGCTGAATGATGTCATCTTCAAGCATTCTGTCTACCTGCTGTTTTATCGCTTCCAGTTTTTTGGAGCCACGGGATAAGGGTTCTGGTGAATAGGTTTCGCCATTTCTTCGGTAATTATTTGATGCCTGGTTAGAGCTGTGTGGCCGACTCTTGATGTTGTCAAAAAGCATTCTTGGTATTCGACCAATAGCTCAAGAAGTCTGCGCCGCTCGTTTTTCAGCAAAGTAATGCTAAGGTCCACAACAGGCGCTGAATCAAGTTTTAGCGCGTCATCGAGTACCGCCAAGCAGCCTTTGGCATCTATGGCATCGTCGAAGTAAGCGACAGCCATGGCGTTTGAAAGGTGCCAGCGCTCAGCGCTAAAATTAGTCAGCGGTAGGTTCGTGCATCCTGCAGCAATTATGACGATACCTCGTGCGACAGAAATACCGTGGGTGAAGAGAAGCGAGCTTATTTGGTCTTAACTCCTTCGGGATCAAACTGGACCGTGGCGGCCACAGAAACAATCGTGCTTCACCTAGCAGGGAGGACTACGTCGTCATCAGTAAGACGCAGTTGGTTTGCTCGCGCCTCTAGAAATTCGGGTAAGCCCGTACTGTTGCAAAAAGTAATCAAACTCTTTGGGATGTCGATGACGGCGCCATATTCTCGTAAAAAATCCATGTCAAAGATCTCTGAATCTCTGCAGCATGCGGCGATAACGACGAACGACCTAGTGAAAGGAGAACCTCTGATGTCAATTCTTGCAGTACATCTTCCAGAGCGCATCAATAACTCGCCACCGGCCGTTCTTATATGAGGGCCCGTCCATGGCGCTTTCACTTTTCTTAGGCTGTCGGTGAGGTCCTGAATGATAATAGAGCTGTCGGCACCAGTGTCGACTAACGCTTTCACTTTGTGGCCGTCAAGAAGAATACTTAAATTGGCAGTCACAATTTCATCGCTTTCACGGCTTATCGGCTGTACGACGTCATGCAATTGGTTTTATTAGTCATCTTCATGGCCTGTAACCTTGCCCCCGGATGTCGCCACCCTCAGTTTCCTCGGCACGGGCTAGGTGACCTTCTTGTATTAAGGTCCACATAGGTGTGGCGGTGCGAGAAAAGCGAACGCGCGGTAGACGGAGAGTGGGATCGACGTCCCAGACCAGGCGGGTTAGTAGGCATTGCCTCCTTTGCAGTAGTACGGCCGTCCTCAATGTAAGAACGGGCTTCGTAGAAAGAGGTGTCGTCGTGGCGTGGAGTGTATTTGTCGTTGACACGTCGACCGTCAAACAGGACGGAATGAATCGCCTCGATGCCAGCAATAACGGGAAATATGGCCTGCACCTCCGCAGTGAAAGCAAAGTGGGCACCTTTTGACGCGTCACCATGCATCTGTTCTTCGGGTCGGTGGACGTCTGAGCATCTCCCCTGATGTCGATGCCCATGGCGTGGCTGTGGACGGCTGGTTGTATGGCTGTAGCATGGGTGGTTGCTGTAGTGTCTGCTCTTGCGGTGGTGACCAAAGGGCCATTGGTGCCTGGTGGTATGGCGTCGGCGTAGCGGGTGGTGGACGTCGGAGAGCGCCAGCGTAGCTAAAGGAACGCTGCTCAGTATTAGGACCAGCCATAGATAAGGCTTGGCGGATTTCTTCACGCACGACTTCTACGACATTCGCAATGGGAGTTTCAGCTACCAGAGTCCGGAAATTCTGCAGTTCTTCGCGAACTATCTCCTTAATCAAGTCTCGCAAAGAGCTCTGACTCTCAGACGTCATGGCAATAGTATTGATTGGGACGTTGCTCAACATGCGGTCATATTGCCTGCAGCGTTGATGAAGGGCACGCTCGATAGCCGTAGCCTTCCTAATAAAGTCAACCACGGTACTTGAAGGGTTGCGCTCGGCGAAAAGCTGTTCCTTGACACCGCGCATGAGGTAACTCAACATTTTATCTTCCGTCTTGGTTGGGTTAGCTCAACGAAAGAAACAAGTCATGTCTTCGGGAAACATTGCAACGATTTTGTTAGGTTTTTGAACCCGTAGCTTCAATAACTGCTGCTCGCGGTTCCGTCGATCGACATTGGCGAAGGTATCGACGAACTGCTGTCGAAAGTCGGACCATGTTGATATATTGGCTTCTATACTCTCATACCAAGTACGAGCACAGAAGTAAGCGCGAGAAAGCTTTTCCTGTTCTGGCCACTGATTTATCTTGGCGACACGCTCGTAGGGATCAAGCCAGTCGTCAACGTCTTCATAGGCGCTGCCACTAAAGCGATCAGGAACGAGTGGTTGAAAGATGGTCACCTGAGATGCATGCGTCGGCAAGCTGCCTTGGGGCACCAATTGGGGGCTTGCGTTGACCAGTGTTCGAGGTGAGCTGTGCCTTATTCAGGCTACTGATTACAGTAGCGATTCAGTAGCGACTACAATAGTGATTCAGGCTACTGATTAAAGTACCCTGATTCGCACTAACGTGCGAATCAGGCTACTGTAACCCGGCTAAGTGCAAAATGAATGAGGAGCCGCAGAAGTCTTCAGTCAAACATCTTTCAGATGTCGTCGAAGAATAAAACAGAACTCCACATGAAGTAACACGATATACACCATCAAACCACATGTATGGAATCTCTTCATAAGACACAATTTTAGATGCACTAATGGAGTGTGCGCAAGAAGCAAGAAAAAGTGCAGTCAAGGACACTCTTGCCTACCACGAGAAGAAGAAGATCATTTACGACTAAAAATTCCTACCACGAGACCTCAAACCTGGCGAATTGGTCCTCTACGAAACACTTCGTCACCCGAACAAAGAAAAGCTCATTTCAGTCATGGAAGGGACCTTACACAATCCTTCGTAGAGTCTCTCCTGTAAACCATGAGATCGACCTATGCGTGACACCGTCAAGCAGAACTACTGACATTGTGCACGTGATCATACTGCTCCGCTACTATTGTCCAAATAAGCTGATGCCCCTTCCCGGGCTCTAGGGAAGGGGGAAACGCGTGACGGTTCACAGGTAAATGGGGGAAAGGAAGATGAGATAGACGAAGATTTATATTTAACGGGTGTTTTGACTGATGCCATGTTTCATCATCCGTTTATATATATATATATATATATATATATATATATATATATATATATATATATATATATATATATATATATATATATATATATATATATAAGGCTTATATGCAGGAGATTAACTTCGCTTCCCGCAAGGTTACGGATAGAAAAGTAGATGCGCTTTCACATAACTTGTTTATTCAACCGACGTTTCGACGGGAGTCCCACCTTTTTCAAGGCATGATACCTTGAAAAAGACGGGGCTCTCGTCAAAACTTAGGCTTGATAAACAAGTTATGTGAAAGTGCATCTATAACTCATCCCCTGATGAAGTGAGGACCCCTCCCGAAACTGTTGGGAAATAAATATATTTATCCTTGGTGACAACGCTCCCGTTGTGCCACATCCCATACCTTCACGAAGACTAACTGGCCCATTGAATTATTACTCCCTATATATATATATATATATATATATATATATATATATATATATATATATATATATATATATATAATATATATATATATATATATATATATATATATATATATATATATATATATATATATATATATATATATGAGGAAAATTGTAGTCATGCGAGGGCCGGGCCACATGCACATGTGGCTCGCGTATTTAAAACACCTGCTATATAGGGTCAAATAACTCTGGGCGATCAAAAATGAATTCTTGGAGTGTTCTAGTACGGTGAATAAACTATCAGATTATGAATTTAGCCCGGAGAACCGCAAAAGTTATTCTATTGAATCTTTTCTATCGTCCTCTTATGTTTTGCAGTTGAGCTGGGCGGCCACCCTTTCAAGGGCTTCTTCATCGCGGCTATGGATCCGCGCACCCAGAAGCGCATCGGCTCCTTCCTCAAGGTGAAGGGCACCCACCCCGTCAGCTGCAGCGCCGTCACCCACAATGACGCGCACCCCAAGAGCCACGTGTCCCTGCTCTGGCTGCCACCCCAGAACCAGCCTGAGGGAGAGGTCGTCTTCATGTGAGCATCCTTGCCACTCTCTGTAACATAACCACCAGAGTGACGGTCTATATTAAGGGTCGGTAACCTGCGGCCTGCGCGGCAATATTTAGCGGCACGACGTCTACGCCCTCCCCTCTTTACCCTCTCACTTCCTATTTGAAGGGTGACATGACAGTTTTGACCTAACGTGAAATTTGCGCACGTAAGTTATGTTAACGGCAACTTTGTGATGTACGTGCTGAAAGTAAACATGATAGTCCAGTTCAGAATGTTACTATGAAACTGGGAGAGGGGGCAGCAAAGCTTCCACCTCTTTTTCGACTTGCCATGTGGCCCCCCGATTTGTTGGTTTCATTCAGTCAACTTGGCCCTGCGCCTGAAAAGGTTGCCGACCCTTGGTCTATAAGATTAATGAGAAGTACTAGGACTACCCTGGCTGCATATCCGATGCCAACAAACGCGAGCTTGTGAAAGTTTACGCTTCATTTATCGCCGCTGCAATGAACGATTTCCGCCTAAATCTTATCGCTGTAGTCTTTAGCTTACCACTCTTTCCGCCTTACTGTCGCCATGCCAAATAATGAAAGTTTTTTTTTTATTTTCTGATATCTCTCTGCGGTTCTTTCTGATAGGCAGGTACGTCAAGGCAGGTACGTCAACATTTTAAGGGGAGTGAAAGAAATCACAGTGAAGAGGTGGGAATGGTTGTCGGATTCTGCACGTGTACATTGCTGTGCATTAAGCACTATTGTGAGTTGAATACATGCCCATTTTGTCAAGGCGGCAAAGCTTCTAAACGCCCTTTTCTTTCTTTCTTTATTAGATAGCTTGGTAATATTCTATCAAGTCAAATACGTTTTGTGTCGCTGTTTGAATTACTTCTATAAATCGAGCACTAATGGTCTCGCGGTGAATTTTGTGTTTTTCTTTAGCACCTTTGTTTATTTTTCTCCCCTCTCTGCAATGTCTCACTTGAGCTGCAGTACACTTAAAATGAATGAATTATTAATTAATTAATTAATTAATGAATTATAATAAATAATTAATAATTATTAATTAATTAATTACGCAACAGCCTGTGTGTCACATTAATTGTGTCACATTAACACGCAGGCAGCGTGTCACATTAACACGCAGCCTGCGTGTCACAACAGCCTGCGTGTCACGTAATTAATAATTAATTAATTACGCAACAGCCTGTGTGTCACATTAATTAATTAATTAATTAATTAATTAATTTGACACGCAGGCTGTTGCAGCAGTTGGCAAGTCTGCCCATTTCTATTGAGCAGTGTTTCTCTGTCATGAATGATTCATGGATCTCTGATGAAAAGATAGAAGTGATGAGAAACCCGTGGCAGTGATATGGTAAAAAAGGGAGGGGGGTTATATGAACACAACGTGCCACATGAAATAGGTGCCCTTTGTTTCTCAGTAGTAATGCATTATCTCAACAGTTTGTAAATAAGTTGTGCGGTCTGCAGGTACATTCCACGTGTTTCTAGCTATACCTTCTATTCAAATATGCAAGCCTTGAGAAATAACGGTAGGAGAAAATCGCAACAAAAGTTTTACAACCATATCATGAAAAAGGAAAGCGCGAGTGAGCTCCTACGGAATGCATACATTTAGGATGTGAAGGTAATGAAAAGTTAGGAGGGGCCATTGTTCTTTTTTTTTTTTTCAAAATGGGTTCAGCGGACTGCCATAAATGACTTCGTAGACCCCTACTTGAGAACTACAGTGATGGAAAAAAACTAGGCTTCTCTTGGAAATTTCTTCTGCAGCATAGAGACGGACGTGAACCCAGAAAAAGAAGCTCTAATGTAAAATATGTCGCGAATGAACCGTTGTTATTGTGCTATTTGTGTTCCATTTTCACGCCCTTTCCTATGCTACTCTACTGTTATCCCAAACCATGCAAAACCAACTGGCCCTCCTCTGCAGCGCATCTTGCAAATTTGGTGTGAGCGCGCCTGCATGTATCAGCAAGCAAAATTAAAAAGAATGTTTTTCTCACCCACAGGGCGACTGTCGTGGAATCGTACGCTCGTTACTACACCGGCCTCGTAGCAGCTGTACCAGCTCAGCAGACGCTGCAGTACATCAAGAAGAAATAGGAAGTCACCACGCTTACATAGGACAAGAGCGGGAGGGTGCGTCATCCAAGAGCAACACCCTTACCACCTCCGCAATCGAAAAACAGCCGATACATGCGTCCACAATTACGGAATCCGTCCGCATTCAGCAACCAACTCCGCGTACATTTCGCACAGTGAATTCGAACATATGAGTTTGTATACCTGACTCCCCGCAGTACTTATTTTTTCCCTCCCCTAGGCCATTTATTTTATTACTGAGTAGCATAGAGCTTTAAGCGAAGTCAAATCTGTCGACGAGTTGAAAGGCACACCTTCGTTAAACCAGGAGAATAGCTAACTTAAACATGGAACTCGCACGACGTGGCCTCTAGGACACGTTTATATGAGACACACTTTTGCACTTCACAGCGTGAAAAGTCGGGGATGGGTGAAAGAATGGGCGAACATGATCGCTGTCTTGCTTTGTTTGCTATGTCCCTGTTGTTTTGTGCTGCAAACCGTTAATATAACCTGACTTGCCCAGTAAACACATAAATAGCGACACATTTATCCATTGACATGATAGGCGCGACACCAATCAGATACAGGCTCCTTCTTGACGCGCCAGGACCACCAGTATGAACACATTCCTCATAACTTGAAGCCTCCTCGCTTTTGCGTCGCTGTCGTCACTAGTGGAGGTGAACCGCCGTCGCGTGTATTTCTGCGCCCTGCTGCCCTAGAAGAGCCAACGAGACTACGGGAGAGGCTTGAAAAGTTTCACAGAACGTTGTACAGAAACTAGCGTGGTTTTACTCGAAGAAGAGTAGCGAGGTCGAAAAGCTCTTGTGTTGCGAAGAATCATCGTTCTTCTTTTCTTTTTTTTTAAATCACTGTAGCCTACAAGAATAGCTTCACTTAAAACATACTCTGCGCTAAAAAATAAACGTTATTAACAACATCTTCTCTACATACCTTTCGAACAGAAACGCCGACACTTTTCGAGCGTTTAAGCAGCGTTCAATTTAATTCACAGAACCTGTAATCGAGTTCAACGTTAATGTAAAATTAGCCGTATTCTTAGCGATATATTCTGCATGTCTAGTTTGAGTTTATTACATTGCTTAACATGTGATGTGGATTGATACAACGCGATTGTTATTGCCATTTCATCTATGATTAAGCAGAGGTTTTGTTGATAAGTTAATATGCAAAACTAAGTTATAAATCGATATACAGGATACTGGGTTTCGTTGCTGAGATTACCGCGGTTGCTTGGCACTGGCACTGTTTTTTTTTTCTTTTGTATCATACTTCCGATGTTTGTATTGCGTCTTAGAAAATTTTGCCTTTGAGAGCATATGTTATGGGTTATTTTTACGAAGAACAAGTGACATGCATTGCTTTTTTCCACTTCAATTTTCACGCATTCGCCGGCCTATTGTACAATATTACTCCCGCCATACGATACCGCTACGGGTTCACAGATGTACCACGGATGCATGTGTCATGTGTTGAAGTCGGTTCTTTTTGTGTGTGTGTACCTCTATACTTGACGTATTTATCAGTGCGCACTTTCGACTTGAGATTTGAAATGACGCAGTCTGTGTGGTCTTGCTTAAGTGTCCGAAAAACGTGCGCAGCTTGCAGTGGAACCTAACAAAAATGCCCATTAGCCACGCTTTCTTTAACATGGTTGTCTGGAATAAAACTGGGATTCTGTGCATCAGCCACACTAGAGCTGCTGGAAATGGTTTCTAGTGGTGCTGTTAAATGTTGAGCAACATTGTTAATAAAAACGTCCAGAAAAACGTGCTATGTATTTCTGTGTATTTTCGTGTTCTATTTACACTTTGCGTTTCTATCGGCCTATCCCTAAGGAGGGAAAAACATGCCATGAACTCAAACTGGAGGCTTCTCCTTCCCACAGCTTTGAATTACCTGGATGGAAGCACATTCACTGTTGAGAATATATTCAGACCACGAGACTGCCCATCATAGGGCAACCAAGGCACTGTTGCGTTTTCTCAAGCACACTGGACTGATTCGACGTTTGTAATTTCAAACGCGGAACTGTTACGTCAGCTGAACCAGCAGCTTTTTTCTACCCCTTTATCACCTATCTACCCTCTTCCCCCTGCAGTCTTGGGTAACCTCGCCCCTTTTTTTCTATTCTCCTTCTCTCTCTCGGTCTAGTAACCTACGCATAGTCATTCAGTAGGAATGTACAAAGCCTCTAAATCTCGAATGGCTACGCAAATTATAAAAGGTAAAGTACAAGAGTGTGTTCTAAGACATATGTTGTTTTTATTAGCAGGAATCGTCAGATATATTTCTTTTAGAGGGGCCGAATGAAAGCACAATGCAAAGGCCACAAATATTGTGCCCGGTTGGTTAACCTGCCCTAGAGAAGCAGAATTATTATTAAAAGTGGAGGAGAGAAAGTTCGCACTATCGAAGAACACACTAACACAAATTATGGCTTTGTTGTTCAGTTCTTCATAAGTGATAATACAGTATCGTGTATCTCAAGCAATGAACCGACACTTATGTAGCATTACGCTGCAGAGACGCACAAAACAACCATTAAAAGAGCATCTATTCTGCTAGGGGCATGTTGCGTACCAAATGCTGTTTTAAAGGCAAATCACGATATTCTGTCACGCAGAAGGTGGCCTATAGTTTTGTTTTACACTATAGAAGTGCTAGAGAATCGCGGTGCTAAGCAGGTTGACCTGAGCTTCTCGGGCAAACGAGTTTGCTCTGAGCTCGCTCCGTGGCAGCCAGGACATCAAGACAGTGGGGAGCGCGTGATATTAGCGTTGATAAAGTCAGAGCTTTGCCGTAAAGGTGAAAAAAAGAACGCAATAGTAACAACTTGGAAGGTCACGCGAAGAATGGCAGGCAGATCGAACCGTGGCTCGCGTTTCTCACGCACAAACAACACATGAAAACACACTCACAGGTACAGATGAGCGCGAATAAGCGCCCCAGTTGTTACTTTGCTGTGCCAGGAAAGTGCGCCCTTTTCGCAAATGGAGACTGTGCAACGAATGTACTGACTATTGGGCGCCCGGTAAGTACAACAGAATCGTTCCGGTGAAAGCCCAAGGCGTACGATTGTCAGCACCGCGAGATAAGGGAGCGCACGCGTGAGCGTCCTCTCTCTGCGGGGCAAAGTACACGTACATGAGAGATGAGAGCGCGTGCCGCCGTGTCGTGATGATCTCGCGATGCGCACTTATTGCGCCATCTCGCCGGTACTCCTGAAAACACGATAGTTCCCCTCGAAATGCTCTTTGCCAGCGGTAAGCGGTAGACAGAAATAGGTTGCTGTTTAAATGTAAAAGGAGGCGCTACTTCGTGGCTCAGTGACTAACGCCTCACAATTCAGATGTTGAACGTTCGATTCAGCCCGCCAGAGGCCCGTTCTGGATTATCTATAGATATGTATACATATACGGTGAATGACGCCGGTGGAAAAATCCAGCCTTCCAGCCAATTCCGGGCCCGTATGTTGAAACTAACAGAAAGAATAGAGTGACTCTTGACAAACTAAGACCACGGTCAACACTACCGTCAGTGTAATCACGAGAATCGCTAAACGTAAGAGCGGGGTTATACTTAACTAACACTACCAATGCAGAATCAAACACCTGAAAGAGCTGCTCGCGTTAAGCAACAGCATTTCGACAATCCGGTATATATAGGCCCAGCATTTTGACCTGCCAGTAGTGCGGGTAGGAGCGCTAGGGTTTTTGGCATTGATGAGCCCCAAATGTTAGGCACAAAAATTAAAGTGCTCTGGCAGTCACTATGAGAAACACCGATCTTACCTTTCTCATTATCCAATAACTAGCTGGCACTCCGGGCTGTTGGCCCCAGCCGCGTCAGCACTTCTGATCTTCGAGTACACAAATTATACCAATGCACACACAAAGCACGGCAGCTCAATAATTTTCACTGAGCAGCGGTCTTCAAACACAGTAGCAGCACGTACTCAGGAATGCGGGCGAAGCATAGGGAAATATACTATATAAAGTGTTGCCACTGGAGCCTTTTCGTGGCCCAGCAAGAAAGGGTCTGATCAACCGCTAGATGGCGTACCCATCCTCGCTTTTACTCCTTTTTTAAGACATTAATTTGCCTCCTCAGAAGGCCAATGAATACCCAAGTTTGGCATAAATTTTTTGCAAAGAAGAAATTTTATTGATTTGTGCAATTTTCCGTATCCACTCTACACCATGTCCCGCTGAGTATATTTATTGCCTTATAGCAAAAAACAGAAAAGCGTGACTAGAAAGTCTTGTCTTTCTGCATTATTTTTGCACAAAGAGGCACAATTATGTGGTTTAGATGTACTGTACTTGTATTCTTTTCGTGGAAGCATGGGTGTGTAGCCTAGTGGTAAAGACACTCGCTCTCGGAGGCTGAGAGTATGGGCTCAAACCCAGCGTTGGAAAGAAGAAAAAATTGTTAATTTATTTATGCAGAAGACATTATCGGGTCTGACCAACCACTCGTGGCGCTGAAAACACCGCAGGAGCTGGGCCGCAGGGCCCTACGGTAGTGTCCGCTTTTAATGTAAGTAGGGGCGAAAAGCGGTGCCATACCTGCACAGGCTCCTTACCGACTGTATAGCTGTAGGCCTTTTTGAGGTGCACTGCTACACGATGAAAGAAAGCTGATTATCACATAATGCATTTTTGTGCAATTTAAAAGACGATAGTCTTTCTTTTGGACCCTCAAAGCAAAAATTTTGGCCTGTCTGTCTGTACATTTGTCTGTTTGTCTCCCCTAATGGTAGCGGGCACTTTAAACGGCGCCAGGCGATACCCCGAACGGCTGACCCCATCCGCAGCGCCCACCAATGTTGCTCAAGATTCAGCGTTCATACTTGTGCGATGCTCAATTAAAAAGCAATTATCGCGCATATCTGAGGCACCATAACAACACGTATAAATTCTGTATGTGCGTCTTTTACAAGAAAAGGCAGACATAAGTTATTCCAAGGACCACAGCGTTGATCACGCGGCGCTGACCATTCAAAGCTTGCACGAAAAGTGAAGTGTTTCCCACGCTTTGCTACGACGACATGGTGGCGGCACCTTCCCGTCGTCTTGCATTGAACACCTTATCAGCTCTGAGATGGGCGCGCATGCCCGTCTCAGAGCTGCGCGTTTCGTTTTCTAAGATAACTGACAGATAGCGCTGATGTCTCACATGTGACGTGACTTGGTGCGCTCAGTCGCCTCCGCTGCACGCTCGAGGCACTCTAACGCAGCGCCTCCAGAATACCGATCACCGATTTTCTTGCGCAGAACATCAAATAAACGTTTTGTTCATTCTCTCCAGACGCAAGACTATCGCCTTTCGAAGACATTTGCAGATTACATGGCGATACGGGGCCATTTTTTTCTTCTCAGTTTAGACAAATAAAAATGCATGTATGCTATCTGCGGCGTCTTACGGAGCGATGTAGTTCCAACGAAGAAGACAGATCAATGTCCAGGTTTTCACCAGGGGGCGGAAACTCTTTCTACCTCCCATGTATTCGCTCTCGCATGCTGATACGCAGTGCCAGCGCCGCTTTTACCGCTGGTGGTTGTCGGGCATCATACTAGAAATAAATCACGAACAGAAAATTTCTTTCATGACTTCACTGGTGGCGATCCGAAATAGAACGAAAGGATGAAATTTAACGAGGAGGAGGGTTACCGCGGAAGCCCTTCTTTGGCACTTTGCATGCAAGCAGAATGCGCTCGTGCCTTCTTTCAGGTCCACTGGCCACTTGGGCGATGCGGCCATTCGTAAAATTGTGGTAATCTTTTTTTTTCAAAATTTTCTTCGTGTGTTCCGAAGAGGCGAAATTCAAGGGTACATATGTCTCAGTATAAGACTAAACTCAATCTGTGCAAATAAAATGAACTTTTTATTACACAGCGTGTATAAAAAACTTACACCTAGTGTGAAAGTGTCAATCTGTAAAACAAGCTTGAACCTACAACTGACAAACATACAAAATGAGCAAACAATGAACCCAGACTATCATAACCAATGCAAAAATTATCAACAACCGCGAGTAGGACACGTCGCATTTGACTCGATCACGTTTGTTATGATGACATGCGTAGTTTACCTACAGAACTTTGGTACCAAACGAGGCTTAATTCGTGGAGAGGCTTCAGGTGATCAGTCGTTTTTTTATGAAGCACGTCACTGGAAACAGTCTTTCATCAAGTGGACTTGTCCTCGTCAGGGCAATGGCATTGCCGTGACGAAGTTAACTTGTCAAAACGTTGGCTTCACCAAGAGTCTATGCGATAATATTTATAAGCATTTATTCCATCACGTGTATTTGAGTGATAGCATCAGAAGTAAAGGCTCACAAATTATCAAAAAGCGGCTAGAAGAAGTTTATAAGCAGGTAGCAGCCCATAATTACTTGACATCATTTGAACTATACGCCAAAAGTAAAAGAAGCTAAAGCTATCTAACAAAGCTTACTCGAATTGAAGCCTTTCAATAAACACATTTTTTCCGACAGGACCTTGGCTGCCATCTTCACCAAGTAACAAGCGACACCACATTTTTGTCAGTCCAGTCAGACTTGCAGACAATTGAGTTTACTCATGTACTCAAACGAAATCCATACCTGCTGAAATCTAGCCTCCAAGTTCTTGTGCTTACTCGCCCCGCGGCGGTGGTCTAGTTGCTAAGGTACTCGGCTGCTGACCCGCAGGTCGCGGGCTGGAATCCAGGCTGCATTTCCGATGGAGGCGGAACTGTTGTAGGCCCGTGTGCTCAGATTTGGGTGCCATT